AAGGAACTAAATGATTTTCAGAAGAATCCTCCTACATCATGCAGTGCTGATAGACAAAATTTTTTTTATGAAGTGGATTATTTCAGTTTTTTTTTTTAAATTGATTTAATGTACAATATTATTAAAACACGCTGAAAAGATATTCGATGGAATTTATGAAGTTAGGTGATCGTTTGTCATTCTTTTTTCCTCTACGATTAAAGTTTTTGTTGTGTTGTGGTTTTAATGTCGATAAAGACCATTGATTTGTCCTAAATTCTGTATTGTATCATTAATTAATTAATCTTTACTACGTACGTGCATCGGGTCATAGTAAAATAATGAAATACTGGTGCAAATAATACATGTAATTTGAGATTCTATGAGTATGAGATGAATGTGACATAATGTTTTACCCCAATATGTAGAAAAACGAGAATTAGATCGAACTTCATTATCTATTTACCAGGGCATCAACACTTAATCATCTATACCCTGTCTTTTTTTAAAAAAGAATGGAGAGACCTTCAAACACAAAGTCTAGAAAATAAGTTTTGAATCAAATTTCTTAATATTATTTTTTTCACCCATCATCATTTCAAGTATTTTAAGTTTAATGTAACTAATGCTTAAAACAAATATTTTTTTTATATATTCATTTTTACGCTTAAATCTGTATGGTATTATTTTAGTTTGAATCAGCAACTGTAAGTCTCTCTGTATACAAGAACATTTTTATACTTACAAACATATACTTTTCGTGACTGTATCTGTTTCTGTACTTAATTATACTATATATTTTTTTCAATAGTTATAAGTTTTATATGCATAAAATTTTGCTAAATGTCTAATGGAAAACAAAATAAACAAATTTTCATTGAATTTATATACAACGCTAACATAACCTTAAAAATAACAAAACTCGTGCATCCTACGGGCTAAAACTAATATAAGAAACTAATAATTGCTTAATGTGTTAAATGAATCTCATTAATTACCTTAAAAATGCGAATTTTATTGACTCAATTTTCTAAGGAAGAAATGTCAAAATTGGCCAACAATGACCAACATCTTGAAAAATAAAATAAAAAAATCAAGAACCAAACCATCTTCATATTTTGTTTTCATAAATAACAAAATACATCAACACGATATAGTGACGATAACATACAATATTTAAAAATAAAAAATTACA